GCAGCCATTATGAATTTTGTTTAGTTAAATATAAGTACATAGTGCCTACATATGTACGTACACATAACAACACTACCTTCCTCAATCTTTACGCCACTTCTTCCTTTTTAGATTTTCGCTATTGTGATATTGACTACTTTTATTTCGAATATCGATTTATTTGCATGAATGTTTTTTTCATATAAGCTTTATTTGTTCAAATCTGTATAGTTTTTATACTTCAGAAAAATATTTAGTCTAGTTAGACCTACGGGTCCCTCTTATCTACTTTGTACTCATCAAATCATGTCCTACGGAATTGAGTTACAGTTTGGTGGACGTCTGTAGACGAGATTTACGAAGACAAACACGGCGAATATTTTTTTCAGTGGGTTAAAAGTCGTTTATGATAAATATAAGAAGTGCCTTTAGGTAGAGGGAAGTTATATCTTTGAATACCTTAGGCTCAAAACTTTTCAGCCTACCCTCGTATGTAGCTAAATTAATTTGAAAGCTGCCTTTATGTACGCTCCCTTAAGCGTCAATTACGAGCACGAACGGTACCATAACGGGCCACCACGTTAACGCTTTTAATCATCTTGAACCTGAATGAGGGCAGCCACTACAGCCTAACCTTGCCTTGACGAATGCACAACCGCGTCATTTGACAAGCTCGACTCTAGTATATTGCTCTTGAATAGTACCACTAAGATTAATAGGACAAGCAAAGGCAACAGCTTTTCCTTTGGATGGTTTGACTTTGATGAGGACTTCCGGACGATTGCACTTGAATAGCTTTCAGGCGTATACATATGAACTCAAACTTTGTTCACTCAACGAGAGAAAGTTTTTCAAATTGTGATCCATGGCTATAAACATTTATCGGCCGTTATTATTATTGTTATTAGTATTAGGGCATATAGAACTGCGACCAAGATAGATCTATTTGGCTAGCCCTTATCTGGTCACTCCAATCTTAGGCTATTAATGAAATTAAGCATGTTCAAGGTTCTGGATAGAGATGATCGTTATTATCCAAGGTGTGCATATAAGTCTAAGTCAAGTTATACGCGGACAAACACATGATATATGTTTCGGGGTTTCCTTCCCTAACCTATAAAACCTGCAGTTCATTTCCTCAGAGAGTCCCATCTTATGTAGATTGTACCTTGTTCCGCCAGAAATCTGGTTAGAGTCCTTAAACCCTCTCTGCTAAGATTTAGCAGCTGCTCAGAGCTATGGATCTTATGGACTGCCTTTTGTCCTTTTTCGGGCGCCATTGGGCTGTAACTTGCAATTCTTCCTATCCCCTTAGGATCCCTGCTGTGAATCCTCTGGATGGACCAAAGAAAGACTGAGGGCCGACCAGGCTGCGTGGGGCACCGCATTTCGCTAAAGTGTCAGCCCTTCCGTTGCCAACGAAACCCTCATGACCTGGAATCCACCATAGCGTTACTCTGTTGTTAGCTTCTAGTTCTACCAGTACCTTTTTGCAGCTGTCCACTACCCATGATACCGTTTTCAAAGATTCAAGTGTTCTTAAAGTGGCCTGGCTATCCGGCCTGATTTATTTATTTATTTCATATGCTGTTTATTGTTGCCCCCATTAGTCCTTGGGCAAAGACATTTGTGGACAAAGACTTCAATTGCGAAAACTTCCGCATGGAATATGGTTGGGTATGAGCCCATCGGGCCGCTAGGTCCATACACGCCGGCCCAAGTGTTCCCATCCATTTTACGGGAAGTTCATTCATAATGCTGAATTTCGACTCAAATTTAAATGACAAAAATTTGGAGGCATTTAGAAAATGCCACGTGGAAATGATTTTAATGACTATTTTTTTCAAAGTGATAACAATAATCTTTTTTAATACCCAAGTTTGACATTAACATTTCTCTCAAAAATTAAAGCCTAGTTGAAATCCAGCATAATTATAAATATTATATCGACGCCTCCAAACCATACCATGCTTAGACTTGGTCACCTTTGAGTTGGTCAGACTTAGCACGGTATGGTTTGGAGGCGTCGTTATATTGTGACTTACACAATATGTTTACTGCAGCGGGCGACCTTCTTTTTGTCTTTTTTAATGTTGATCGGAAACTGGGCATTCATAGCTATCGAAATAAACCCCGGCTGACTCATAAAAGTATATACACAACATATGCCGTAATGATCCGCAACCATTAAAGCCTGGCATGGCATATTGATCTTTGCAGTTCGTTGTCGCCACACCAGCTATAAGATCTCCAGATATCTTCGTATATATTGATTGCTTCTTCCTCTGCCAGAAATGGTCAATTTTAATTCCGGTCACATGTCCCAGTAAAGCTCGTGCTGTCCAAATGACTAAGTAAATCGGTTATTGTTCCATCGAACTTTTTCCAAACTTTCCGATTGATCATGCAAGAAAGTTGTGGAGTCCGACAAGGTGGTTGCTTTCCCCGCTAAATAGTTCATCTGCTTAGCAATTACCTTGTATGTATCTATGACTCGGCACTGACTAGCCAATTTTGGAACTAGCCTGCACTCTATCGCAGCATTGCTTTGGAGCAGGCCAGTAATCCAAAGGCTGCTTAAAGGCAGGTTAAAACAAGAGTCGAGGAAGCAACGTCTGTTCAATTTTATCCCAGCTTTGGCCGAGCAGTTCAAAATAGTAAATCCCTTATCCAACTTTAATATCAAATTTTGAACTGCCTTGAGACTTGAATCCAAATTATCTTACTACTCATTTTTAATGCCATATTCATGTGGAATATTTCTTATCAGTACAATTGGGAATTCTGTATTTGTTGATTCTAGTGTCGCTCCACGGATAGATTCCAAAATCTTCTGTGGTTCAGAATTTTGGCCCAACTATTCGCAATTTTTTCTCTCTTTTTGCGTAAGGTATTTCTCCCTACGACAGCAGCTTCCCAGAACAAATCTTTTAAACTTGCACCAAGTCTTTAATTTCTATTGCATTATTTCTTTATTATTTTTTGTTTTTAACTCAATGTTGTACAATATGTATATAGATTAGTATTATTTAGATGAAAGTTGTATTAGGATACACATATTTGAAAGACTTAAAAATTTACCTATAAATGTACATATTTATGTGTGTAATACAACATTCTACTTAGTAAGTGTCTCCCAACACTCTTTAGACTATAGATCTTTGACTCGATTTCCTAAATAATTACTATGTCTGTAGCGAAGTGTTATCGATCCAAGCACCTCTTAATGACTTTTTATTGGCGCTAAATTTTGTGCAGGTTTAA